GTTCTACATGCATATCCTCCCTTAGGATTCATGGTCTTTTCAGTGGCACACTATCTTGGAATGATGGGTGACGGTTATGTATGGATATCCACGGATTGGCTTACCTCTGTGTTAGATTCCTCTTTTCCCCTTCCACAAGATAAAATGGATATCATGCAAGGAGTTCTTGTTTTGCGTCAACACACTCCAGAGTCTGAAAATAAAAGAGCATTTTCATCTAGATGGAACAAGTTGACAGGTGGTTCATTAGGGCTTAATTCCTATGCACTTCATGCATATGACACTGTTTGGTTAGTTGCACATGCCTTAGATTCATTCTTTAATCAGGGAGGGACTATTTCATTTTCTGATGATACTAAGTTGCAATCAGTTGAAGGAAGTAATCTTCACCTTGAAGCAATGAGTATTTTTGATGGTGGGCCACTTCTGCTGAAGAACTTACTGCAGAGTGATTTTATTGGTTTGACGGGGCCATTCAAGTTTAATCCAGACAAATCTCTTGTTCTTCCAGCATATGATATCATAAATGTAATTGGAACGGGTTTTCGGCGTGTTGGTTACTGGTCTAACTATTCTGGCTTGTCCGTTTCGCCTCCTGAGTCCCTTTACTCGAGGCCACCTAATCGTTCAAGTACAAACCAAAAACTTTATAGTGTTGTATGGCCTGGAAACAATGTACAAAAGCCTCGTGGATGGGTTTTTCCAAACAATGGTAAGCAACTGAGAATAGGGGTGCCAATTCGAGTTAGTTACCGGGAATTTGTGTCTCAAATTCCAGGCACTAACAATTTTAAAGGTTTTTGCATTGATGTATTTACTGCTGCCGTAAACTTATTGCCGTATGCTGTTCCACATCAATTTGTCCCCTTTGGAAACGGGCATGAAAATCCAAGCTACACTGAAATGGTGAAGCTAATCACAACAGGGGTAAGTTCTTGCTGAGTGAGGGTGCTATATCCATAATTACCTAAGACTAGACTATTCTAACTATGTTACAAATTAACTGTTCTTGTGTGCTCCCAGAATTTTGATGGTGTTGTTGGTGACATCGCAATAGTTACAAATCGAACTAGAGTTGTCGATTTCACACAGCCATATGCTGCATCTGGACTTGTTGTTGTGGCCCCATTCAAAAAGTTGAACTCAGGTGGTTGGGCCTTCCTAAGACCCTTTTCTGGTCAAATGTGGGGAGTTATCACTATTTTCTTTCTCTTTGTTGGGATAGTTGTGTGGATTTTGGAGCACCGGACAAATGATGAATTTCGTGGGCCTCCTAAACAGCAGCTAATAACCATTCTATGGTGAGATCAACGGTCCTTTTTCTTTCTTTTTTCCGTTTAAATTGTCCTTGCAGTGGCGGAGGGTTTAACGTTGACCCATATGGCCCTACCTTGTATTCATTACCAAAATGTGAATACATAAAGGACATAGTTCTTACCTCCAGAGGTCCTATGTGAAAGTGGACCGACTTCTTTACAAAAAAAAAAATGTCCTAAAGCATTTATGTGCTTATATGAAATGTTCTAAGTCAAGAAAGGATGACTCCCCATTTTACATCAATTAGCTTTACAAAATAACAAAAATTAATAAAAGGTCTACATTCTCATGCTAAGTTACAAAATGGTGAGATCAAAGTTCGTTCACAGAAGAAGCATCATAATCCCAATAATTGCATGTGATTGTGGTAACTGCTGATTACAAAGTTGTGAGCAGACCCAACCAGTAAGGCATGCTCGTGATGAACTTAGCATAGCTTCCTACTCCGGTGGTAGTTCTTTTCTTCTTCTCCTCTTAAATGAACAGGAAAAATTAGATAGCGGGATAAAAAAGTTCTTGATGATATGATTGTTAATATGTCAAAACTTGAAGGTGTCGTTGTATCTTTCTATTTCCATTTTAATACTACATGAGTTCGAAAATCTGCCATGACAGCTTTTTATCAAATCGCTACAGTAGAGAGACATCATGCCGCTATAGCTACTCCATTGCCGTTTGCTTGCTCGACTGCTTTATCTTCTTGTAACAGTTTCGAAGAGTTAAATCTTATTCTTTCATTGAAGTATCCATCTCATTGTTCAATTGAACTTTGATTTGAATAGGTTTGCAGCCATCACTCGGAGAAGTGCATTACTTTTATAGAAGGATTGCTCCTCACAATAAGAACAACTTCTCTGTTGTGGAAGACTATTTGTCTGACAATTGTTTGTTCTTCTTGCAGGTTCAGCCTTTCAACTCTCTTTTTTGCCCACAGTAAGTGAACTATAGTTTGGTATACTTGTTTTCTGGTAAATCCAGTGTTTACTTTGCTAACTTTTGCAATCTTTCTTATGCAGGAGAGAATACTGTAAGCACGCTTGGTCGCATGGTGCTGATCATATGGCTCTTTGTTGTTTTGATAATAAATTCAAGTTACACTGCAAGTTTGACCTCCATCTTCACTGTGCAACAACTGTATTCTCCTATTAAAGGACTAGAAAGCTTGAAAGAAACTGATGAACCTATTGGGTTCCAAGTGGGTTCTTTTGCCGAACGGTATTTGGAGGAAATCGGTATACCAAAATCCAGACTTGTTGCCCTTGGATCACCGGAACAATATGCTACGGCACTTCAACGCGGTCCTGGAAAAGGGGGTGTAGCTGCAGTGGTGGATGAAAGGCCATATATAGAACTTTTCCTGTCAAACCAGTGCAAATTCAGGATTGTAGGTCAAGAATTCACCAAAAGTGGGTGGGGTTTCGTAAGTGATCTCTATTCCTACTGATCTTTTTTGTCCCTTTCCTTTTTTCCTAATTCTATGCCTACTGCTTTTTCTTTTTTTCCTTTTTAGTCCTAATTCAGGATTTGTAGCTTTTCTTGAGTTTTCTAGTTCTGAAGAAAATTGCGGAGAATGTCTTAGGTATTAAGAGTTGCATTTCATTTGGGTGTGAAAACAAAGGCATGTAAAGAAAGATTGTTGAATCTCGTAGAAAGCACTGGTGGATTCATTACACACTCGAGCATTTTGGTCTAATCTATGTATGATTTTTGCAAGTCAATGTAATCTAAAATGTCGCTGAGGTGAAAGTGATATTGGTTTCCATTCCAAGTTTAGGCACTCCTTAAGAAATTTCTATTTTGTTGACTGAAAAGGTTCTGTCCTTGACATGTTTGTAGCATGTCAGTAAGCAGAATTTCACTCAAACTGTTAGGGGTTCAGCATTTCTATTAGTTTATATGTTTATTTATCTATTGGATACGCAGAATCCAGGAATCATGATTTCTTTTGTCATTTCTGTTTTTTATTCTTATTAGGCATTTCCTCGGGACTCTCCGTTGGCTGTTGACTTGTCAACTGCAATTTTAACGCTATCTGAAAATGGAGATCTCCAGCGAATACATGACAAGTGGTTATCAAGAAGTGCATGCAGTTTAGAGAATGCTGAGCTTGAATCAGATCGCCTTCACCTGAGAAGCTTTTCAGGCCTCTTTCTTATATGTGGGATTGCATGCTTTATTGCTCTCCTAATATATTTCCTCCAAATTATGCATAAGTATCGCCAGGCTGCCAAGGCTGAAGCTATTTCAGATGGTTCTACTGGTTCACGTTCTAAACGTCTTCAAACTTTATTGTCACTTATTGATGAGAAAGCAGATAAATCAAGTAGAGACAGCAAGAGAAGGAAAGTAGACAGATCAGTTTCTGATGAGAACATGGAAAATGACTTGGGAAGGGATTCCAGGAGGAGAGAACCACAGGTTTCTTCTCAGAATGAAGTTCATTAGTTGTTCAATTATGCTAGCGTACATTTCTTATAGGGTTCTCATCAAGTTTCAATTTTGAGTGGTAATAATTTAATCAAAAATCAATCAGTCATTAGTTATGTTTAGGATTATAGATGAGAGAATTGTTTTATACATCATATATAAGATCCGTGTATCAACTGTAAATTAGCACAATCTTTACATGATCAATAGCATTTCTTATTTCTGGGAAGAGTGACAAACTAAAGTATGCTTCATCTTTGAGCCTTCTTCTTTGGTTTCATGTGAACCGTGCTTTTGTTATTGTGTTTTAATGATCTCAAGATGTAACCATAAAGGAAAAGTAAGTTCTCTAAGTTGACAACAACAGAAAAAAAAAGGATAGTAAGTTCTCTAAGGTTGCACTCTGTTAAGAGGCATTATCAACCTTGGCTTTGGACTCTTCTACTCAGGACCTTAGCTTTGGATGTCGTCGCCTTGATTTCTGTCTTGACCAACAGGTGAAGATAATTTCCTATTCCTATGCTAAGTTCCTCTCCCTGTACCTTCTAAAGGTGAACAAATGATTCTGTCTGCATTATCGCCTCCCTCTGTTTGTAGTTTCTGCCTTTTAGGCTTGGTAAGTTAACATTCATTGCTGAATTCCAGCCTTAAGATATCTTAGCCATTGATCATTGCACCTAATTTTTTGGAAGTATGGAAGCTTCTTCAGATGCTTGCACTCAACTTGCAAATGGAAGGAATATGAGTGCTATAGAAAGGTTTTAGTTTTATCTCGGACAGCCATATTCATTGTTAGAGCAACAAAAAAGATGCATTTAGCCCTGTATCATTATAACTTCCACTCAACTACTTGTGGGAAGAAAAAATGTGGTGCACTTATTCTTGCTGCACTTTTTGAGATAGAGATTATGTGGCACAGAAGGTGCAATTACCATATTGAGTCTCATTATCTTGGTGCATTTTTGGGGACCATCCATTTTAATTTGGTGTAGTAGTGCTTTCATAGGTTAGGTTAATCATGATTTAGTTGGTCACCTTGAGATTGTTATTGGGAAGCTACTCAAAACACACCCCCTTGTATAGTAAAATTATTGTTACTCTGGGAAACAAAGTTACTATATATTAATTGGATGGATAGAATCATAGAATAGTAACTCCTTCATAATTTGTCAAGTCTTTTGCTGCTTTTTGCTACTTTGTGCAAGTCACAGCAGAATTTGTAATATGTGAATCTCCAACTGATCGACAACATACACTATTTCAAAAAGGTATACATTCAACTACCAGCATCACACTGTGGAAAGTCTACTATGAAATCCCTCTAGATATAGCGGGAATGAACTATAGAAGACAAATATGGAAATAGAATGAGCATGACCAGCTGTAGTTGAAGAGGTCAGATTTACACATCTATTTTTGTCAATCATTCATTATCATAGTATACAAATTACAATATATACAAAGGTTTGAATGGTCTCCAGGAGAGAGATGGGTTTGGAATTGGCTAAATTTGATTGCCTCTGAAATATTTCTGAAAGATATCTTCTTCTAAACAATATGCATGAAATACTTTGTAAACCTCAATTATAAGTCTTGGAAATCTGGTGGAGAAATAGCTTTCAAATCCTTCAGGAACCTGTCCAAGAATTCCCTGTATTTCCTTTGGAAGTTCTCTATAATGGTTTAACTTATTTCTGATAACACGTAACAAATCGCGGACACTATCGTACTTGTAACGCCTGTAGCGACCAATGTCATTGATAAAGGCACTGTCCATTTTTTCATTCCACAAACCACCCAATGCCACGGTCTTAACACTTTCCACTGCTTCCAAAAGTTTAGATCCATTCTCTCTATCCTCTAATTCTACTCTATCACTGGCATCCCGGAGGAATGAAAGCCGCATCTCGGAATTCCAAAAGAAAGGATGATGCAGTATTTCCACTGCCTTTGGCCTATGGGATAGACAAAAAGGCAATATGCCTCCGTCAGTGAAGGTTAATGAAGACTACAACAATGACACATAACTTACAAATACATAATATCAGGGAATCATTCGTGTACCATAAATTTGGGAACCATGATGTCATTACCTCAGCTCTGGCTTTGGATGTAGGAGTGCACTAATGAGATCTGCTGCCTCTGGAATATTCTCTATCAGGAATAAATCTTTTTGATTGTTAACTATATTTACATCACGTTCAAGACTATCCCCATATGGATGTTTTCCCCCGGTTATGCAGAAAAAGAGTACACAACCTAAACTGAATAAATCCACAGCACGTGTCTGCCGTTCATCACGAAGTTGCTCAGGTGCTTGCCAGCCTGAACTCCCAGAGCCTAAAGATATAGTCGGACAGAAATAAAACGAGCTGAGTAACATCCATGCATGTATTGTAGATGCAAATAGATATGCAGAAGAAAGTTTCAAAGGAATCCCTGTTTGCAAATGAAATGCCTCTGCTATAGAAATATACGGATTATCAACTCCAAATAGAAGGGAAATAGAAGCTTTTCATTTTATTCTTTTTCGGACAAAAAGAAAGTGAAATGGAAGTTATATTAAATAAACTGAAAAATAAAAAAGCAACAAAAGGAGACCCTCCTCACCCTTCAGCCAGGGAAAATAAGGCACGCTTGGGGCAGGGGAATGCACTAGGAAATTTCAATTGTTACCCAAAAAAAAGGCAAATTTCTGGAACTAAGGCTCACCAGTGGAATTTTTGGTTAATGCAGACATGTCCCCTGCAAGGTGCTTGCTGATACCCATATCTGAAATTTTTGCACTTATAGATCTCTCCTTTACTATAAGAACATTCTGAGGCTTCAAGTCCCGGTGTACAATTCCCAGTTCATGCAAATGGGCAAGGCCATGAACCATATCTCTGCCATTAGCAATCATAAAAGGGATTAATCGTGATTTTGATTGCTTCTCAAATACTTCTGAAAGTGCTGTAACTAAATAATCGTGAAAGGAATAATCAGGTAAAAAGACATAAAACATCTAATATGCAAGCACTGAGAGGGCCGCATATGAAATAAATGATTCAGAGGCTGATTGCTTTTATTTTCCTTTTGTGAGATCAAAATAATATAGAAGTCTCAGACAGATGAGAGAAATGCTTCAAAGGGTTCATGGGAATCACAATCCAAAATGGAACTGAAGCCGAGTACTGAAGAAATTCCCATAACAGCTATTAGATGCTTTAGCAATATAGATGTGTGAATTCTCAGCTTATATGTTTCCAGAGCCTGTGATTCATTTGCCCGAGAGTCATTCTTGAATTCTCCGCAAGTTTACACATTCAGTAACAAATCTTCCATCTCCAAGTCTAAAGTCGTAATGACGACCATTATGATACAACTCCTTGACATCATCCGACAAACAATTATTTGTTTAGAACTCATTTATAGTGTAATTTGATTAATAAAAGCATGGGTTACCACTAGGAGTCCACTAAGCAAAAAGGTTTAGATTAAACAATCGTCAAAATAATTTTTTTGGGATAAGTATAATTATTCTTGAAATATTTCGGTACATATATATAAGAGCTAATTCAACGTAAATCTTAATGGTCTATTCCAGATTCGAATGTGGACCCTTACATAATTTTTTTTATTTCTCAAGTAAAAGCTAAGGAATAACCAACTACAATGTATGCTACCTATTTCTGTATCCAACTCGGTTCATATAAAAAAAAATTCAAGCTACCATGAACATTTCCTACCTTACACTATTCAATCAATTTCTTCAAGAAAACTTGAAGTGAACAGTCTGTAAAAGATAAAGAGTTTGATATACAATCAAGAGCTCCAGTTAGACATGCCCCATAGTCTACAATCCAAGAGAAGCAGTTTCTCAGGCATGGTTTAGTTGAAACCCACTTTAACAAGAGTTACTTTCAGCTCAAAGCCATATGCTGAGAAAGCTATAGATCATGCACTTGATATTGACTGATCCAAGAAAAAAAAACACTTGTATTGAATTGAGTCTCCATACCCATGAAAGAATTCAGACCAATAAAAATAAATAAAAAACTGAGCATAACAATAGACCAACCTCATCAATTTTAACAAGTGAGCTGAAGGATATCCATTGGGCTTCCATAACGGGAAGTCCTCCTTATCTCCAGATTTCCACTGAAATTTTACGGTGCAATCAGTTAAACAACCGGCATCCTGGTCATCTCCAGAAAATTGCTTTTGGCAGGAGCTGGAGAATGATGATGTAAACTCATATAAGCTACAGGTGCAACGCTCAAGAGCGAGATAAACAAAATCTTGATCGTACTCCACCCCGTACCAACGAACAATATTTGGGTGTTGATCTGAGGCAATAAGATTCTGAATTTCTTTCACAGCCACTTCGTGATGGGTCTGGACAAGTCGTTTAACAGCTACAGGACGACCATCATAGATTCCCTCGAGTACGATAGTGCCATTGCTCCCCTTAGCTATTTCAGTGTTAGAGACCAACAACTTACCTATCTTCCTATGATATACAAGACTACCATACTTGAATAAGTTCAGTTCCAAAACTTTCTCACTCTTTCCAATTTCAGGGAATCCACCACTTACTTCAGCATCATCATTATGATTAGTTTTCTTATTCTTCTCGCCACGGGTACTTTTCTTACTCAAACCTGACTTTCGAGCTTTCTTCTTCTTGGAGGTCACATGCAATTCGGGATCTGTTGCCTGCTTGTGCAACTTCCACCTTTTCCACAGCACAGTATAAGCAAAAGAGAAAACTGCAATAAGCAGCATGGATGCGTTTAGCACAACAGAACTCCAGTTATATGAATGTACTAAAGCATCAGATTTCGTGATTGTATTTATATCACCATTATCTCCACTAGGCAGACGCATGACCCCAAATTCCTTAGCCATAGATGGAGGTGACATATTTAGATGGCCATTATCTCCACTAAGCAAACGCATGACCCCAAATTCTTTAGTCATAGGTGAAGGTGAAGAACGGATTATATCAGCTTCGTTTAATCCCGATAGTTCAGTAACTGGTTTTAATACAGGATAAGAAGCAGGTAAAGAAAGCGCCTCATTTCCAGAAAGAGCATTCTGTGGCCTACCAGATGCAAAAAGTGATTCTAATGATCTAAGATTCCTCACTCGGTGGACAGCTGGCTTTGTAGGACAAACTCCATATCCAGAATTCAATTGATCCTCTTGGTCAGAAAGATCACCAACAAAACTCTCAATTTGTTTACATTGCTGTGAAGCCTCAAAATCAGCAAACATTAAGTACCATAAAACCTTTCCGGTCTTCGAAGAAGTATATTTCAGAGCATAGTCTGTTCTCATAATGTAGAGTGGATTTAGAGCTTCCGAGTCTGTGTCCTGCGCTGCTGCCCATTCTTCAACATCCTCCCTTGCTACAATTGGATTTTGTCCAACATCTGTATCACCTTCTAAAGGAAACACATCCGACCTAAATGTGTTGATAAGTTTCCCGGTTTTAGCATCAACAATGAATACAGTGGTCTTCTTTGATCCCAACATGATTCCACCATCTGAGACATATGGAGTACGCTTTAGAAATTCTTCCGCACTGAATGGAAGCTCCTGAGATAATTTAAAAAAATAGCAGATTAACAAAACACAGTATTTTATCCTTACCTCAACCAAAAAATGAAACTACAACACCTCGCAATGTCAAACTATTTCATACGAACATGCAGCACTCTCAAAGTAATATTAACAAGTTTTCATGCATCACTCTCGTCATGATATATACACTAGTAGATGGACAAATAGAGAAACCCTCTAGTGAGAATATTCAAAAGAATCGTAAAACTACCGGTAAGGGAAATAAAAGCTCTTCAGAAATGCATTTCCTCAACATAAAACTCCGTAGAGTTTCTGAATGAGCATGGGTAGAGAACAAGTTCAGTCAGCGTACCACTTTTTCGAAGCCATTCCCGTGCATGTATAGTTTCCAATCTTCACCACAATCTATATAGAAGTTATCATCCTCAATGGTAACATTGTTACTATCACCTTGATAATCAGAGAGAGCTTGATAAGAAGAATAAATGGATGCCCCTGACCTAAATGACCAGATAAGTTCTCCTGATTTTAGCTCCAGCAGGTGGATCGTGCCATCTGGAGCAGCTATAATCGCTGTATCGCGTTTACTGAATTTCAAAGCAAAGAGACAACAGATTGCACTTGAATTAGCTTAGGGGCATTCGAGCAGAGAATCTATACTAAGAAGAAAGCAATTGAAAGATGATAAGTAAAATGAAGCACATGAAAAATAAAGATGAAAAAGTCTTCAGCCATACACATTATCTTATCAAAGAAACTTTAAAATGAAGATTTTCAAAATTCTAAAACGAAAAACAAAAACCACATCCCTGTATTTTCTGATCCTGAAAAATAAGAACTTCACCACCATGCCAGCGTTTCACTGCTGTGGGTATTAATATGACATCATCATCTATGTCATCCATTCTAATAAAAAATAGAAACAGCAAAGCAGCTTTGTGCAACTCAATTGTGAAGCCTATCACAATTTATTTTTTGCTTAAAATCCCATTGTATTAAGTGCATGGTTACTTCTCTATCCCACTCCCAACTTTCTGTCCCACTGTTATAATTTTCATAAGCTCTTATTTCCTTTATCCTACGTTAATCTCCAATTTAAGTAGTGGGATGTATTCAGTCAGCTCGGCATACAAAGATTTGAACCGGGAGGGATCTCAACTCAGTTTATGGCCTTGGAAACAAATATGGAAAGTAAAAATGCCTTATAAAGTGGCATGTTTTACCTGGATGGTAATTAGGGAGGCTGTCCTCACTCAGGATAATCTAAGGAAGAGGGGTATACCAATTGTTTCAAGATGTTATTTGTGTGGGAATAATGCTGAGACAATCAGCCATCTGTTTCTTCATTGTAGAGTGACCAGCCAATTATGGGATTTGTTCATTAATCTCAGAGGTGCTAGATGGGTAATGCCAGGGAGAACCTCTGATCTTTTATTATGCTGGAACACAGAGGTAGACTTTACCACAGACAAAAACAGATGGAAAATTGTCCCAGCAACTATTTGGTGGACAATTTGGAAAGAAAGGAACCTGAGATGCTTTGAAGATACAACCAACTCTCTACAAAAGATTAAGATGAAGTGTATTCTTCTTTTTTGTTTTTGGTGTAAATCAGAATATGTAGAGGATCCTGATTCAATCCTGGATGTTTTCAGTTCCTTGTAAGAAGAACAAGGACTATATTTTTGCTTTTCCGTATTGTAATTGCCTATTTTGGCTTCCAGCACAAAGTTTGCGCTGATGATTTTTTGAATATACTGGACACTTTACCTTCTCAAAAAAAATAATTCTGAACCATTAAATGTGTAGCCGTCCAACCCGCGACTTCAATAACTTGGTCAATTGAAGTGAAAAGATGTGCTTAGCCGAAATCAATCGGTACAAAAGATTGGGTCAACATGGCTTAGGTGCACTACCCAATTTGACCTGTCAATTTTCCCAAGTTGAGGTTTGTAGCGATGCTGACTTCAAGCTTCAGACTCGTATGCTTCGTTCCCATTTACTATCTTCTGCTTTCCTTTCCAACTTTTGATGTTAACAAATCAAATTCCATTATACAAAGAGCTCATACATTGTTAAGGAGATAATGATAGAGTTGGTTGATGTTCTTTTTCAATTAATTTTCAAAAGAGTCTACAAGTTGAAGACAGGTAGATCTGAGTGTTGGACAAATAGTCACTGATTCTGATGCAGCAGTCAAGGTTCACCATAATTATCAATTATCATTGCCATGCTACTAAAACTTTTTAAACTAGCTCAAAGTTTTGTTGGTGTATCTGATGGAAAACTTTCTACCAGATTTGGTTTAGGCTATGAACACCACTCAACACATTTTCTACCCAATCCATACTGACAGTAAAATAATATGGTGGGTGGCTCCATGTCTCATACTGTTCCTCAACCCATTTCGACCCGCCTAATCTACATCCAACGTGTCCATTTGTCACTCTTATCTCAATCCTTTAAGTTGTTTATCAACTTATATAAAATTCAGATTGCTTTAGACAAATTTAAGTTATGCAGACACAAAAGTATACGATCTCCTGACTAGTAACAATGTGTTGGAAAATGTATTTGGCGTAAATCATCCAAATGTTTTTTGGTCTCGCCTCTCTCATACTGAATCTATAGGTGCAATTCCAAAAGGCATAATTCTTTCCTTTCAGTTAAACATAGTATACTGAGGCCATTATGAGGGAGACATGTCCCACCAAAAACAATCTCAAAATCCCATTCCTTAAGATACGACAACTTGAAAACCAATGTAATTGCCATGTAAAGCAGATCAGTTAACAGCACAGTTAAGTAAGCTAATGAGTCGAAAACACCCATAAGCGTTCTTATCCGCCTATATCAGTATATATATCAATAAATTAAGCCTCAATCCCAAACTAGTTAGGTGCTATCTATTTATGTCCTCTATATCCTTTCAGTTATCTCAAGCCCTTATCTTCAAAGGTTTCAACTTGACTATTTGCTAGGCATTGTGAAGCTCATATAGCGAAGTATCAGTATCAATTAAGAATATGTGTCATCAAAATTTAGAACAGTTCATGAAGTATCAAAAATGAAAATGACTACAACTTAAACATTGAAGGGAAAAAAGGTCCTTTTTTAATTAACTAAGGGGGGGACTTACGGTTTGAGAGGCAATAGAGAAGTTGAAGGTGGAACTTCTGAGGTAGTTGGGACCTCAACTTCCGGATCGGATCCTTCAGAATTTGATGGAGCTCCATATACAACAGCTATGAGCACAATTGCTAAAAAGAATATGATGAGGAAATAACCTCTCATCTCTAATATTTAAGGATCAGAAACTTCGAATAATTTCCATGAAAATTCTCAATTGCAGCAAATTATCAACAGAAACTGGTGATTTTGAAGATAATTTGCAGTAATTGAGGCAAAGATTATGTCTTTTGATCTCCTTTCTAGGGTTTTCGAATACAGGGAAAATTTATCAACAGAAGATGGCGATTTTGTAATTAATTTAAATTGGTTGAGGCAAAAATGGTATTTACTTTTTTTCTTCTTCTGGGGTTTTCGAATGCAGTGTAAAACCGTAAACTAGATCATCGCTTTTTGCATTTTTGCAGAAATCGAGGTGAGATCCGTAACCGTTAATTTCGGTGCTAACTATGATGTCCGGTCAACTGATTCAGCTCAAATTCAAAGCATTGACCTCTTTGATTTATTTTTATTTTCATTTTTTGTTTTGCTTTTGGATTAAATTCCAACCAAGAGGTTGTGAGTTCGAGTCTCCCCAAGAGCAAGATGAGAAGTTCTTGGAGGGAAGGATGCCGGGGGTCTATTTGGAAACAGCCTCTCTACCCCAGGGTAGGGGTAAGGTCTGCGTACACACTATGCTCCCCGACCCCACTAAGTGGGATTATACTGGATTGTTGTTGTTGTTGTTGTTGTTTTGCTTTTGGATTAAGCAAGTGAGAGGATAAGAGACAAAAGGTAAAAATGACTGAAAATCTAGTTGGACAGAAAAACTTATTCTTAGTTATATTGAAATTAATTATGCTGGAATTATTTATTAATGTATTATTTCTTATTTATTATTTGGTATATTGTATTAATCATGAGATTGTCAATTTTATTGTTTTATCCTGAGATTACTATTCCACTCTCTGACCGGTATAAGTTATACCGATATTATTTAATCTTGGGATAATTAGTAATCAAACAAGACATAAGGCGGTACTAAATTTTTAGCGCATGATTATTTTTGCTTTTTCATGATACCAAACAACCCCTTAAAGTGTAAATAATTAAATGAAATACTAAAAAATTTCAATTTTTGAAAGTTATATAAAAAATTTAAATTAAATAAACACTAATAATGCAAAGATTTTTTTCTACAGTATTAGTTGATTTTACATGTGATAACATTATGAGCAACCTTATTATGACTGTCCATAGAACTTAATTTTATGTGAAATAGTCACATTTGATAGAATACCTCAGAGTTAAAATTTACTAAAATTAGTTAAGTCACCTATGTATTATTTATAAATCGCTCATGTATTGTTTATGATCGTCTAAGTCTAAGTGATCTCCAATTGATCGCTTATTAATTATTACCAGGATCGTTTTTTAATAAAGTGAAAGATCATGGTAATATCATAGATTGACATATACTATTTATGATCGCCTAAGCGATATCTGGTTTATCGCTTATTAGACACTTTTTTAGAAACATATCTTAGGGGATTCAACTTTATTTTATGAAAATCAAAAGAATTTATAAGCAATGGCATGAGTTTGAGTAAAGAATAACTCATTAAGAAGTACTGCTCTGGATATAAAAAACAAAAAAAGGTACATCCCATTTATTCAGTCTCAACTAAATGGATATAGAAAGAATTCATAACACTGATATTACTGTCTTAAATTAGTGGTAATTTGCCACTAAGTTTTACAGACTAAATCTGTAGATAAAAAAATTATTGGCTTCTAAAATCATCCATTTCAAAAGAGGAAACATAACAAAAACGATTATTCATAGACTTTGCATTCCTCATCAGCAGGATTTGTCTTGCAAAACTCATCCAATGGATCTCCACTTCCTGGTACTGCAACTCCTGGCCATTTGTTTGCTACTAGATGAGCCAAATCCACCACACGTTGGCTGCAATTTACAAAAACATGATCACCATTTCATTCATAACAAAAAAAAAGGGTAGCCCGGGCCCTGGTGCACTAAGCGCGGGGTCCAGGGAAGTGCCGGACTGCAAGAGTCTATTGTATGCAGTCTTGCCCTGCATTTCTGCAAGAGGCTGTTTCCACGGCTGGTCACATGGCAGCAACTTTACCAGTTACGCCAAGGAATTTGAATATATTTCACGTATAGTCATTGAACTTTACCTGTATCCCCACTCGTTATCGTACCAAGCCACGACCTTGACCATATCGTCTCCCATAACCATGGTTAAAGAGGAGTCGATGGTGGATGAGACATCAGAGCATCTGAAGTCAACTGAAACAAGAGGTTCATCGCACACAGCTAATACGCCTTTCAATGGACCATCAGCAGCTTTTCTGAAAGCTGCATTGACATCCTCAGCTGTAATTCCTTTCTTCGCGACATTGACAACGAGGTCAACAACTGAAACATTAGGTGTTGGGACACGGAGAGCAATGCCATTGAGCTTTCCCTTAAGTTGAGGTAGCACTAAAGACACAGCCTTGGCTGCACCAGTGCTGGTTGGGACAATGTTCAATGCTGCTGCTCTCGCTCTCCTCAAGTCACGGTGTGAAGCATCTAGAAGCCTCTGCATAACAACATAATCAATCCTATTAGCGCGGAATTACAAGTTTCTATTGACATGAAACCATGTTTATGAAGGTGTTTCATTGGTTTCCCTCTCAATATTGTGCATGATTACCTGATCTCCGGTGTAAGAGTGAGTTGTTGTCATTGTACCCTTCACAATACCTGAAAAGTGAATGGAAATAGTCAACACAACAATCAAAATTGTGTTAATGATTTAAACAATAGTCGATGTAGAGTTATTGTAATTGAATTTGCTGCTTACCAAGTTCTTCATCCATGACCTTTACAAATGGAGCCAAGCAGTTAGTGGTGCAAGAGGCATTGCTGCAATTTCAAAACAATAAACTGTAAAAATTTGGAACAATATGAATGTGCAAAGCCTATATACTCGTGGATGACTAACTTTTTGAGCGATGTATACTATATTGACAGAAGCACAACCTTATGATATCAGCAACCTCGTGAGAGTAGTCTTGCTCGTTCACCCCAACGACATAGGTAGGAATGTCAGCACCTTTTGCTGGTGCAGTGATGATAACTTTCTTGGCACCAGCTTGGATGTGCTTCCCAGCACCTGGACCATCAACAAACACACCGGTTCCCTGTTGATTCAAACAATATAATCAGCTTGGAACCATTTCTCAGAAGTCATCAAGTTGTAAATGCTTCACAAAAGGCTGCAACTTGACTACTTCAATCTTGTCAGGCAAATAAGTTGATCATAGCTATAAAGACGGAGGCAAAAACTTAAGTCGCAAGACAATAGGAATGACTCAACTCCTATATTAGGGATTATTGTGATATATTGTGCTCTAAATGTCCTGAAATTTTTTAAAGTTAGCAATTAGTAAGAGTATTTTAAGCTAAAAAAGAATTAAATTACTCTTTCAATGACCACGGATATCAGTTATCATGCCACTAACATATAAGATTTGTCTTTGTTCCTGAAAATATGAGCTCTAAGGATTACTATAGGCAATTTTTGGGGGACAGAATATGATGAGTTTCATGGATGCAAATACACAGTCTAGTAATGTTGATGAGAACTGTGTTGAAGTGTATGACCAACTCATCTGAAAACTTAAACTGTTAAAGAGAGCACACTTTTATTTACTTAATTATGTTTCTGAAAAACTGAGGATATAAGGTTTACCTCAATAACAATGTCGATGCCAAGTTCAGCCCAAGGAAGCTTAAGGGGGTCCCTGCTAGAAACAACCTTGATGTGCTTTCCATCAACACTAATGGTTTCATTATCCACTATTTTCACATCAGCTTTGAATGTTCCCAGCATCGAATCATACTTTAGCAAGTGAGATGCCTGTATTCACATTGCAGCAAAACTAGCAACTCTTAGTAAATAATTCTAGTCAAGTTAATCATAGAAAGAAGGAAAACATAGAATTGACTCACATTCTTGACACCACCACTGTCGTTGACAACCACGACATCTAGTGGCGAGTCTTTGCGCCCATGCCAGCATCGGAGGAAATTCCTACCAATTCGTCCAAAACCATTGATAGCAACCTTCAATTTAGCAACAGTTTCTCCCTTAACAGGGGTTGATCTTGTGGTCTAGTTTATCATAACCATAAAAATAGATCAGTTCCAGTAGTATATCAAGAATTATGCATACCATCCTACAAAGATTTTCACTTTCATGCACTAACAACATTACACAATAAGATCACTTAAAAGATAACTACAACTAATCGTCCACATCACTAGGATTAGTAACCTGAAAAATAAGGCGTGTAACCTGCTAAAACAGGTTTAATTAAACACACTGATAATGTAAATCCTCCTACATATAAGCTATAGCTTGTCTTGTAATAGTATTTCTTAAAAGAAAAGCTGAAAATAGGGAGAAAAATTTACCTTTGGAGTGAGTTGAGCAGAGACAACATCAAAGAAAGAAGACTCTTTGTTGGAAAATGTCACACATCCACTCGATCGAAGACCAGCAAATTCGGCTACTTCAAATTTCTACACATAACAGAGGATGAGAATTTAGAAAAAACATAACTTTTTAACACATTACTACATAGCAAACATACTTTAAAAAGAATTAAAAAAAAAACCTTGGATAAGCATTGAGTGGGGAAAGAGTGGGAGTTCTTGGTAGGTAGCCTTGTGGTTGTAGGAATTCTTGAAGAAGCCAAAGCTGAGTGGGAAGCCATGGCTGCAACTAAATGATTTTATGGAAATATTTCCTGTGCTATATATAGTTTGAAATATGTTTTGTTGCCAACATATTATTAGTAATTGTTCTATAATGGGAATAATTAAAATAAAGCCATGGTTGGTATTGAAGGTAAAGGAATGAGTGGTGAAGATGGTGTATGAAGATTGATACAAGATAAGATCATGTCCCCTTGTATCTTCCATTTTCACAATCTCAACCACAGATTGTTGGCATATTTCCTTTATTCCATACATGCCCTTGATATTCTTTATAAACTGCCCGTAGTTTGTACTTTGACAGCGTAAATTTTTTTATACCATCAATATAGAATAACTTAGAGAAGGGCCGGACCACAAGGCGGACCCAGGATTGAGAATAACGGGGGCACCATCAAAAACTTGTAGCAAGCAGGTTTCGAACCTGCATCGTGTGACAAGGAGCAAGGCTTATTCTTAGAAGCGGACCATTGCTGCAAGCATAATATTGATAATGATGGTACCAAGAAAAATATTTAAGGGGTCCCCAACGTATATACAACTATGTATATATAGAGTTTTTGCCGAAGTTAACGGGTTCACGTGACCCCTCAAGCATGGCTGTAGGTCCGCCTCTGACCACAAGGGTCTATTGCACGCAGTCTTACCCTGCAGTTCTGTAAGAGATAAGCTT